TTGTTTTTTTAATGGTAGGTCAAATATCCTAAAACATACATATTTTGATAATCTTCTAATCCCAGTTGAGTTCAAATATTAAAGTAATATTTTTCCCTTTTAGAAGATACAGAAATTGAGGCCTAGAAAGGTTAAAAGTTTAGTAAGCAATACAGTCAGTAGGTGGCAGAGCTGAGATATAAAATCAGATCCACCTGATTCTCAAAACAGAGGATTTTGCCATGGCATTCTGATTAACTACGGCTTATATAAGCCTTTGTGTATATGTCTACTGTCTCTACCAGATCTCAAATACCATGAGGAAGGGTCAGTTTATTCATTGTCCTGTGTCTGTTTCATAGCAAGCACTCAGCAGATAATGTCTGAAATCTGATCAAATTTCTAGGTGGCGAAAATGAGAACTGCAAAGTACAATACACTTTCTCCCACCATATAACATAATTAGACTTCTGTTCCAAATTAGGCTAAAAAAATTACAAAAAAAATTCCAACATATTATACTGGAAACAGACTTCTAAATTCACATAATCCAGATTTAGGTATGATGAACATATACATGTATGCATAAACTTCTACGTGATATATTTTAGTAAACAAATAGTTAATAAGTAGTCTAAGAGTTGAAAGAAAATTCCAAAAGCCAATCATTTTCTTTACTGCCAGGATTAATCAATCATAAACTTCAAAGATGAAATTGCGTTGTTCAATGCTTCTTAACATAGAGCAGATTCTTTTTAACATGTAACAAACACTATTCTTAAATAGTTTTTCTGAAATAGATCAAGGATCAAAATGCCGTTTCTATTACACTTATGAGACCAAAATCCCTTGGGCACACCTTATTGTCAATGCTATGGATTTAATGGCATAAAGCAAACTCAGATGATGGTTTTAAACCATAAACAAGGGGAGAAACATAACAACAAATAATTTAAAAATTTTAAATTAAGTCCACATCTTATCAGCTAACTTTAAATCACTTCTTCCAATGAATTAAATGTATACTTTGTAATACGCCAATCCATTTGATCATTTCTTCACTTTAATCAAATATTTAATTCCTATTACATGCCAGCACTGTTTTATATGCTAAAGACCATAGGTATGAACAAAGTAGAAGGGAAATCCCGCTGTCATACAGCTAACAGTTCTGGGGGGAGAGCAACAATAAACAAATACAACAAACAGATGTCAGATGGTGATGTGCTGGAAAGAAAAAAAATTCACAGAAGGGGAAAATATTGCAATTTAAGGTAGGATAGATGAGAAAGTGATGGTGGCTTGGGTGTAAAGTGGTAACAAGTAGAGAAACTGAGAGGTGATTAGATTCTAAATATACTTTCCTGTCAGAACCAACACTATTGGCAGGTGGGGTATGGGATATGAAAAAAAGGGAAGAGTCAGGGATTACAACAAGGCTAAGGGCTTAGCAAAGAAATGTATGGACAGTTACCACTTACTGAGATCAGGCTGTGGTAGAAGCAAATTTGGGGCGAAGGGGCCCAAATCTGTCTATGTTTAGCTTGAGAACCATATTCAATTCAAAGAGGAGATGCTGAGTAGGCAGTTAGTCATGCAGGTCTGCAGTCCAGGATACAAGTAAATCTGGGAATTATTAACATTTCAAGCCCCGAGAGTAGGAAAACTCACCAAGGAATGAGCAGAGAGAAATGAGTTTCAAGAAATGAGGTGGTTGCTGGAGGGTGTGGGGTGAAGAGTCCCCATCCTCTAAAAGATGTGTAGGGTAATGAGAATGAGGAAAAGGTGATGCTGGAGAGTGCAAAGAACTGCTTGAGCAATTGTTGAAGGACTGGTTTCAAAGATTGCTGAAATGCAGCATCCTATCTCTGCGGACAGGAAAGGATACATAGAAGCACTGAAGTGCATAAAGGACAGAGAGGTAAGCAGTAAAACCACTGTTCACCTTGAGAGTCAGTGGTAAAACTAACTCAAACAATAAAAGAAGTCAGTAAGGTAGTAAGATATACAATTAACACAAAAACCAACAGCCTACAAAACACACATCTGACAATGGACCAGTATCTAGAACATATAAAGAACTCTCAAAATTCAATAATAAAAGAAAACAACCCAATTAGAAAATAATAAAAAGAGTGGTTGCCAGATGTGGGGCATGGGAGATAGGTAAAATGGGTAAAGGGAGTCAAAAAGGACAGATGATTGCTAGAATTAATGGGGTGATCACATTGTAAGGTATAAAAATGTCAAATAACTCTGTTGTACACCTGAAACTAATATAATCAATATAAGATTATATACCAACTATACTTAAAAAGTAAATTTTTAAAACGTACAAACTTTTAGTTATAAAATAAATAAGTAATGGGGAAGTAGCGTACAGCATGGCGACAGTGACTATAGTTAATAAATACTATACTGACTATTTGAAAAGTTGCTAAGAGAGTAGATCTTAAAAGTTCTCATCACACAAAAAAATTATAAAAATTGTGGGCTGATGGATGTTAACTAAACTTATTGAGGCAATAATTTTATAATATATATATACATATATATATAGTCATTATATACAATGTTGTGTGTTATTTATACCTCAATTTTTTTAAATTAATGTAAAACAAGAAAACAAGCAGAAGACAGGAAGGGAGATTTCATGAAAGGGAATGTACAAATATCAAAAAAGCACATGAAAAGTTGTTTGACATCATTAGCCATTAAGGAAATGGAAATTAAAATGTGGTATCTCTACACACCTATTAGAATGACTAAAATAAAACATAGTAACAACATCAAGTGCTGGCAAATATGCAGAGAAACTGGATACTCAAATACTGCTGGAGGTGATATAAAATGGTAATTTGTACAATGACAGATTAGTTTGCCAGTGTCCTAAAGAACTACACAAACACTTATCATATAACCCAACAATTGTACTCCTGGGGATTTACAGTCCCAGAGAAATAAAAACTTATGCCCACATGAAAACCTTTACATAAATATAGCAGCTTTATTTGTAGTAGCCCCAAACTGGAAACAACCCAGATGTCCCTGAAGGACTGAATGGTTCAAACAACTGTGAAGGATCTATACCATAGAATACTACTCAGCAATGAAAAAGAACGAACTATTGATACACACCACAACTTGGATGAATCTCAAGACTATAATGCTGAGTGTAAAAAGCCAGTATCATAAGGTTCCGTATTAAATGATTCCATTTCTGTAACATTCTTGCAATGACAGAATTAGAGGTGAGGGAACAGATTAGCGATTACCAGAGGTTAGGGAGGGTGGGTCAGGGATGGGGGGTATGACTAATAAGGAAGAATTTTGTGGCAGTAAAATAATTCTGCATCTTTATTATTAGTGGTGATTATAGGATCTACACACGTGATAAAATGACATAAAACTATACACAGTGTAGCAATGCCAGTTTCCTGTTTTTGATATTGTACTACAATTATGTAAGATATAACCATTGGGGAGGACTAAGTAAAAGTTACAAGGGGGCTTTCTATATTATATTTGCAATATTTTTTGTGAATCTATAATTATCTCTAAATAAAAAATTAAAAAACACATAATGTACCCTTGGAAGTATAACTTAGACCATGAGATTTCTTAGAACTCAAGTCAAAATAAATATATGGTTATTTAATTAACAAATTAATAGTCTAGTACATAAGTGTTCATAGCAGCTTTATTTGTAATAGCCCCAAACTGGAAACCACCCCAATGTCCATATACATACAATGATACACTACTAAGCAATAAAAACTAATGAACTGTTGGTACATACAATATGGATGCATCTGAACATAGTTTTGTTGAGTGAAAGAAGTCAGACAAAAGAGTGTACAATGTATGACTTCATTTATAGAAAATTCTAGAAAATATAAACTAATCTATAGTGACAAAAATCAGATCAATCAATGCCTGGGGGATGCTGTTTGTGGGGAGAGGTGAGAAGAAGGAATTATATGGGGCAAGAAGGAACTTTTGGGGATGATGAATTTATTCACTATCTTGACTGTGGTGATGGTTTCTTGGGTGTATATACATGTCAAAACTTACCAAATTGTACACATGAAACAAGTATGGTTAATGGTATGTCAATTATAATCCAATAAGGTTTAAAAAGATCAGTAGCTTACACAAATAATGACCAGTTAGAATATATCATGGAAAAGAACACTCCATTTACAATAGCAACAGAGCAATACTTAGGAACCAACCTAAGAAATGTACAAAACCTTGAGTTCTTAAACCTTGAGCTCTTTCCTCTTAGTCATGGGTCCTTCTCAATCTATCAAGAGATCAAAGCCCCTTTCTTTAAAACTTCTGCAATAAAATGTTACTTCTGTAATAAAATTTGATGACCCTCTAACACATGTGACATCCCTTGTTTAGCATCAAGTGTTATTTTTATGGTGCATTGGAATGGATCTTTATATAATGGCTACCTCTGGCAACGTAATTTACAACTGCAGAGCAGTTCTATAGAATTTATACTTCTGCCTTGTGCTTTCCCATCCCTGCTCTTCTTGAATAGCATGCAGACTAAAGAGAAGTGAAGAGGACTATTCTCACAGAATGGGGAGAGGAGTTCAGGTATGTATTTTCTTTGGTAGGAGAAGTAAACCATTTTAAAGTAGTGTCAGCATCTATTAGCTTCCTCCACACTTTCTCTCTGATTAGGCAGAGTAAGGGGATGATATCTATAATTTTCCCCAGACAAAGCTTCCTGTGAAACAAGTGCTTCCCTTTGCTAAGATGACAAATCTCAGTTCAGCAGAGTCCTATGGAAATGGGATCTGCAAAGACAGATCAACATATAGGAACGTGAATCTAGCCCTCTACCCACACAGTAGTTTCAGTTAGATGCCACTTTCAGAGTTCTTCACAAGGGTAATTTTTAATTGCTAGCAATGCACACCACTTGGGAATGCAGATTTCAAACATACATCAAAAAGGTAGGCAAATCTGTGAAAAAAATTTTGAAAAGCTGCCAATATACTTACAGTTTTTTTCATTATTTTCAAAAGCTGCTCTTGCTTCTTCGAATGTGCAGAATTCTTCTTTGCATTCACGTTCAATGTTGCCTTGTCTTATATTTCCTCAAAAAGTCCATTAGCTCTTGGGTAGTGTTTTAGTACTGAATTGGCTTTTGCTCCTGTGAGGAAAACTAAAAAGAGATATAAAAATAAGCATACATTTGTAATAAAAAACGTGGAAAGTTAATATAAAAGATGAAAACTGCTAGATGCTCTTTAGAAAAGAGCCAACATCCTAAATCTCTTTCTGTGAGTCAGCAATGAAGTAACATTTAGCTCCAAATCACCACATCTACCATCTTCCTCATCATGTGAGTATGTCTTTTCAGTAGCAGTTGCCATGGGCAGTGACAGTGACATAGTTAACTATGTTATATTCAGACTTTAGCACATTCCTGCCAACCATGGGTGTTTAAATATAGGAACAATGATACCACCACTTATACCTATTATTATAAGTGGATACCCTGAGGCATTCTGCTGCTGGCCAGCAGCAAGCAAATCAAAATCCAGTATCTAGACTATCAGTCTTTGTCCCTTAACTAAAAACAACAAAAAACCCACACAAATAAAACTCCAGTTGTACCTAATGATATAAACCCAGAGGAGCCTTACTTGTATGAAAAAGAAGAGGTGACAAAACAACATCCAGAAATTAAGATAAATTTGGCCATGATCCATTCCAAGGAATAATAGTTTTGTTCTAAATTCACTTAAGTTAAATATATTGTGAAACTTCAGTATATCAATGCAATTTCACTGTCCTTCAGAAAAAGAAAATTCTGCGTGACTTACAGGGGCATTTCATATAAACATTCAAAATGCACATTTATGATACCTAATAAAATAAATAAGGCAAGTTATATGCACAGTTATGGGGAATTATTTTTATTTTTACATACAGATTCATTTTAAACTAGACTTCAATTACATTTTCCTAAAAGTGTCATGCTTGTTTGCAGGGATAAATATAATGCTACTAGAAATTAATCTCCACTAATGCAAAGAAATTAGAAAAAATCTCTAATCTGATAAGACTTCTGACATGGGCGAAGGCACATTACAGATCCTTCAAGATATTTAAAAACATCTATATTTTGCAAAGAACATTTTGAAGTAAATGAAAAACAGCAAATGCTTTTTTAAAAATGACAAAAATAGCAATGAATTTAAGGTTTACTTCATTTTAGACATGTGTTTCACTTTATATGAGATATGGATTTATTACTGAGGATTCTTTAAAATACCCAAATTTACACCAGCTAGATGCACCTCTACTAGGTTGAAAACTATGTTGGCCTTCCATAAGTGTTTCCTTCCTTCTGTACCTCAGAAGGGTAACCATCTATAAAATGAATCAAAGAGTGATAAAATATCATTAGAAGGAATATTTAAATTGTGGTAAGTGCTACGAAGGAAACTAAAAGAGTGCTACTGAGATTAAGAATACCAGTGGAGCCCGGCCGGGCATGGCTCAGCGGTTGAACATCAACCTGGGATCCAGGAGATCAGGGTTCGATTCCTGGTCAGGGCACATGCCCAGGTTGTGGGCTGCAGCCAATCAATGACTCTCTCATCATTGATGTTTCTATCCCTCTCTCTCCCTCTCCTTTCCTCTCTCTGAAATCAATAAAGATATATTAAAAAAGAATACCAGTGGAATTTTCTGGCAGTGCTTCTCACAGTTTAGCATCATCAGAATCCCCTAGAGGACTAATTATCACAAAGATTGCTGGACCCAGCTCCCAGAGTTTCTGATTCCATAGGTCTGGGTGGGGCCACGCAGTTGCATTTCTAATAAGTTCCCAGGTTATGCTAGTGCTGCTGGTCCTACTAACACAGTTTGTGAACCACTATCCAACTGTGTGTTACTGAGAAGGGATTAATATATTTAAAATATATTTTAAAATATATTTTACTGTATGACTTTTAGGGCCCTTAACACCTTGCTGACCAGCTATTTCGAGCCAGAACTCACCTGTGTGGCTGGCTACTTTTCCACACTTGAATATTAAATTAAAGCATCTGAATAAACTTAAATGTACTTTATTTTGTCATATCTTATATTACCATATGTTGAAATTAAACATATTTCATGTATTTTAATATTTTTAAATATTTTACTATTGTAATATTTTTTTGAATGTGATATATTGTGTAACATGTATTTACATGTAATGGTACTAAACAAGTTTTACATACATATTGTTTCACTATGCTTTCCCTTAGAAGAATACACTTTACACACCCTAGTGAGATTTTTTTAAAATGCTGGTTACTATTTTTTGTAAAACATGATCTTGCACCTCTTATAATCTGAGCCTCAACAGAGATAACTAAGAAAACAGTCTAGAATGCTCTTTTAAAACTACATTGCTTTCAGACCTTACAATTACTTAAATTAATGTAAATGCAGACATGAGTTATCTCATGACCAGTCAATGACATTTGGGAATGGAAACATCAGTTAACTCTTAACTGGTCAGCAAGGTGTTTTAATATATGTTTAATATATAGTTGTAAATCTCCAGAAAAAGAACATGACCCATGCATCTGTCATATTTATTTGACTATGGCACCCTTTTTTGAGGGACGTTTCACTTAATTAACAACTACCTAGCCATTGGTCTTATGTCCTCTAAAATGACATACAAGTCTTCTCTACATAATAAAGCTAACTAATACATGAAGACAGTAACTGATTTCCCTTGAGTATTCTATTTTCCAGGATAAATATATCCAGTTCCTTCATGTAATGCTCATATAAAATGTGTAAGAGTTTCTACATCATCTGTATCTCATAAAATATAGTGTCCTAAACTGAGTGCAATATTCTAAGTGTGGTCTGATAAGTGTAAAACTGATCGGGACTATCTATCTGCTTCCTTGTTAGAAAACACAATAGATATGTTAATGTAGTCTAACATATCCCTGACTTTTGGGACAGTTTTCCTGAAGATAAACCAAACAAACAATAATGTATTTTGAGCTTTTAAGAGAAAAAAATGAAATTCTCCTAAGAGAAAATAATTTTCTTATGTGCTATCTACATGGAAAAGGGTAATCAAGGAATGTAGCTAACTCTTGTAACCAGAAAGCAGGCTAATTAGGGTGAAGCAACTATAAGTTAATGTAGCAAGACGTATCATCTAATCCCAGCCTAATCAAATTACCAAGAGCATTCCACAAACACCTTTGGTGTATTTCTTATACTTGGAAGCAAAGTAATATAATAGTGAGAACTCTAGTTAGAATAAGCTGGCAAGTAGATTTTAACTCACTTGCTAAATCTGGTCAACTAGAAGTACCACCTGGAGTAAGAATATGACCAGTAGTGAAGATATTGTTATAGATTAGCTATGTCTGCCATATAATAAGGAACAGGAAGCTGTGGCAGAGTATTTACCAGTCCTCATCGAAGTAATTTGTAAATCTAATGGATGATAACAGAATTAGAATATTTTTAATGTGGAAACAAAAAATAAAGGGGAAAGGGGCAACTTGGACCCATAGGATAAGATTAGACGATCTCTTTCTAAAACACTAGGCAATTTCCATGCTGTAAGGGCTTCTAAAATTAAAGCAATGATGTTTGAAACTAAAGCTCATCCCTTCCCTCTGCTTCCTTCTCATCAAATTGTGTGAGTTAGTCCGCACAAAGTAGCCCTTTGAGGGCCATTATTCCCACCATCAAGAATCATGTGTACACCTTTATCAGAGATTACATGATGTGATAAGTATACAGAATATGAATGTACTTTGAGAACACGAAATTGAACTGTTATTCAAAACATGTACTTTTCTTGCCCTGGCCAATGTGGCTCAGTTGGCTGGGCATTGTCCCATGCACCAGAAGGTTGCTGGTTCGATTCCCGGTGAGGGCACATGCCTGAGTTGCAGCTGGGTCCCCAGTAGGGATCGTGCAGAAGGCAACTGATCGATATTTTGTTCTCACAATCGATGTTTCTCTCTCTCTACTTCTCTCTTCCTCTCTCTCTAAAAATAAATAAAAAATCTTTAAAAACAAACAAAAAAACATGTACTTCTCTCATTAAAGGAAATAAAGACAAATGTAAACTGCTTTCTTTAGATAGTTAGAAAACATCCTTACTAAAGAAAATATTTAAACTCTAAGACTGATACACACATATACACCCACAAAATAAGTACATATACTCAAAAAATATTACTACTTTTTCATAATTTCAAAATAAATAGCTGTCACCTATACTTTCTCTTCAAAACAAAAGAATAAAAATAGATGAAATAAGATGGCTTCTCAAGGAACTCCCTAAGTTACTGCCTTAAACCAAACTATGCAGTTGTGTAATATATTTTTAATGCATTGCAGGATACTAAACTCATATCTTAATGACAATAATCTTTAGCTAAGTGAAATCCTGTCCATACATTTGCTGAAAAAACAGCAGATGATAAGGTCTGAAAATTAACAGCTGATTTGGAAAATTCTTTACTCCAATTATATAATCAGTTTTCTCCCCTTGGGTCTTATTTCAATAAAGGAGACACCATTCAAAGTTGCACATGTTTACATTTTTCTTTTAAGTGAACAAAATTCTTTTTCTTAAGACATATTTACTGAGCACAGACCATGTACAATGAGATCACAAAGTTACAAAGATGAGTAGCAGATGGCTTCTGGCCTCAAGGTTTGCCAGTGCAAGAGATAATGAAGATAAAAGATACACAAAGAGCTCCAATGCAAGAATGAACATGGTGGATGCTTTTTTGAGGTCAAAAGGCAGGTATATTTCTAACGGATAAGGTGTGTTTGGGGTGGGGGAGGAAGCTGAAGACAGACCCTTAAAAAGTGTATTTGAGCTGGCATTTTAAGATTGGCAGGATTAAGACTAGGAAAGACATTCTAGGAAAACAAAACAGTAAGTGAAGACTTGAAATTAAATAAAGCAAGGGTCATAAATGAGGAAGTGAGCTGGTCAGCAGGGCCAGAGTACAAGATTCAAAATAGAAAGAGCAAGAAATTAAACTGGAAACAGGCCCACAGCAATGTCATAAAGGCACTTAATGTTAGGGTAAGATACTGAAACTATTTGACAGCACTCAAGATTTTAGACCAATTCTTCAGAGAGAATAACCTAGAAAACTATTA